TGCTAAGGAATCGAACCCAGGGTCCCATGCATGCAAGGCAAGCACTCTACCAATGAGCCACCTTCCCAGCCTCGTTCTATGTACTCTTGTTGTTTCTGTCTCTGCTTCTGTTCCTGTCTTTCCCTGGAACTGTCTGTCTGTTTCCTTTTCTCTATATTTTGTACTTCCTCTCTCTATATATATGCCCTTGCCAACCTTTCCCTTCTGCCTTTTATCCCATTCCAGGCTTCTCAAGCTGTGAATGGCTCATTGGAGCAGGAGCCCCAGAAGCAGCTCCCAGAGGTGCTAGATGGGGCCTGGGAGCCACCTCCTGAGGATGGGCTGCCGCTGCTCACTATCATCATTGCTGCCTTTGTCCTGCTGGCAGTTTGTATCGTGTTGGCAGTCCACATTGGGCCAAAGCTGCATCAAGGCCATGCCACTCTTCCTACAGAGCCACCAGCCTCAAAGCCAAAGGATGGCATATACCTCATCCACTGGAGGCCTCTGGGCTTCCAGGACACTCATAAAGATGTCCAGCAGGGAGCTCCTGTCCCTGACTCTGACCTTGCACCAGATGGACCCAGGCGCAGCATCGGGGAAGACACATATCTGTAGACATGGAGATTTTGAAGGAACTTTCCTTAACTCAGAATTAGAAATGGGGCAGGGCACCAGGGGCTTATGCCTGTGATGCTGCTACTCAGGGGGCTGAGATCTGAGGATCAGAGTTTGAAGTCAGCCTGGACAGGAAAGTCTGTGATACTCTTATCTCCAATAAGCTACAAAAAAGCCAGAAGCGGGACTGTGACTCAAGTGGTAGAGTGCTAGCTTTGAGCAAAAAAGTTCAAGGGAATGGCCCAGGCCCTGAGTTCAAGCCTCGGGACCAGCATAAAACAATAACAACAACAATAATAATAATGATGATGATAATGAACTAGAAATTGGGCTGAAAATTCAAGCACAAGCAAGTTGGAGTGTGTGCACCAGAGCTACAGAAGGTGCACAGGACTCAGCTAATGCTCCACTTTCCATGTTTATAGAGAAAACTCAGCTGTGCCAGGAAAATAAAAGCAGATTGACAATCCTGCCCAGAGACAAGTTACTGTGGATGTTCCCAATGCCCAAGGCCATACTTAGGAAGTTGTTCCCTCTCTTCAGCGACCTCTAGACCCTGAACCACCTCTTCTGAGCCCCTATGCTCTCCTTGCACCCCTAAGTCTTCTTTCCTTGTGATGTAAAGAGAGTTCAGTTTAGGGATTGGAAGTTTGGCGTAGTTGGTAGAGGGCCAAGCCAATGAGTGAAGCATCAGAGACTGAGTTTGTGCAAGTCCCAGTCTCACAACAAAGAGAAAAAGAAAATTCCTCATGCAGAAATGTCAGAAGTCTCATGCCTTGGGTCCTATAAAGATTAGCCAGGAAAAGCTGGAATAGATAACCATGATGGGCCATAGTTCTAGACTCTGGGGACTTGGAGAAGGCAGGAATGTCTGTTACCTTTCACTCACTGGAGAGCAGCTCTTTGGCTGACAGGGCCCAGGCCTGTTGCTAACCTTTCAAGACCTTGGAAACCCTAAGCACCATTCAGAGTTGGAGGACTGACTTTGAATTGCTTCCTGATTGTCTTGCTTTTCCAGGATGTGATGGGAAGTTTGAAACTCAGCTCTGCCCACTTTCTGCATATATAGGCCTGTGAGGAAACACCTAGAATTTACTACAAAACATTTCTCAGGAAGTGGCACCATGATTCAACGTGGTATATCACTAGCCTTGAGCACAAGAGCTCAAGGACAGAGCCGCTGCTTCTGAGTTTAAGCCCCACGACTAACAAAAATTAAAATAAATAGAAAAATAAAAACATTTGTCAGTTCCAGAATTTTCCAGTTGGTGGAAAACAGGAAAGGTAAAGGAGGTCCATGGAACTTGTTTGGGGAAAAGGGCCCTTCCCTGTAGGAAGGGCTTAGGGAAAGTCAGCCGTGGGGCCAGGAACCAGGAAGGGACCAGGAAGACAAAGCTAGGCCTCTTGGTGGCTCACTGGGAAGGCACCCCTTTCCCTGACACCTTGGAACCTTACCCATGTGCAGTCAAGAACATATGGATAGACATTTATGAAAGGATTGCTGATGCTTTATGCTGGGGAACTCCTGAGGACAAGTCAACCCCAGGGCCCACCCTTAGTGAGTATCCTATATAGTCAGGGGGAGCTGTGAAATAATGGAAGATGGCCAGGAGCAGAGGTAGAGCTGCAGTTTGTGCAGAGGCTAGGTTTCCTTAAAGGACTGGAGAAAAGACCAGGTACTGGTGATGCATGTTTGTAATCTTAACTACTTGGGAGGCTGAGACCTCAGGATCTCAGTTCAAAGCCAGCCCAGGCAGGAAAGTCTGTGAAACTCTTATCTCCAGTTAACCTCCAAAAGGCCAGAAGTAGAGCTGTGGCTCAAGTGGTCGAGTGCTAGCCTTGAGCTGAAGAGCTCAGGAACAGTGCCCAGGTCCTGAGTTCAAGCCCAGGACTGGCAAAACAATGACTGGAGAGAGGAAAGCTATCATCTTAATAGCTGCTACTTCTTTGGGTCAGCTATGTGCCAGACACCGAGCCATCTGTGAGACTACAGACACTATGCCATTCACTCCTCACAATAACCTGGATAAGAAGTGCCATCTTATCTCCATTTTATACTTGGGAAGACTGTGACTTATTGAAGCACCCAGCTGGACACTGATACTAAATGATGGAGTTAGGATTTGAACTTGGGGCTGTCAGACTCCACAGCCTGTGTACCATGCTTATAGCTGGTGGATGGGGCAAGGTGAAGCTGGGGAGGCTCTTGATTCTGGGCTAGATCCTGGTGCAGGAGCTGCTAATATGCTAGAGTCCTCAAGTCTTGGAGACAAGATGACTGGGACAGCTGGAGAGAAAAGAAAGTGCTTCCTTCTCAAATCCCATGGCTCGGCCATCTTTAAGGGCAGCTGGTTTCCTCTGGCATGTGTGTTTGTGTGAAGACTTTGCTCAAAATGAGGCTGAAGGGAGCAGGGAATGTGGCCTAGTGGTAGAGTGCTTGCCTAACATGCATGAAACCCTGGTTCGATTCCTGAGTACCACATAAATAGCAAAGCCAGAAGTGGCACTGTGGCTCAAGTGGTAGAGTGCAAGCCTTGAGCAAAAAAAGCTCAGGGACAGTACCCAGGCCCTGAGTTCAAGCCCCGGGATTTGGGAGGGGGGGGAGAGAGAGGAAGAGGCTGCACTTAGAAATGCGTAAAAACAAGGTGGGAGGGAGGGAACAAATCTAGCTTGGGTGGAACAAGTAGAAATGGGCTGCCTTGCCTCACAATTATCCCACCCCACGGTTATTTTGCACTGGTTCAGTGCTGGCAACGTAGGTGTGGCATGGTGACTAGATGTGTTGTCTAAGTCTCAAAGTATATGTCCTGTTTCCTCACATAAACATATTCTCACCCTAATTTTTTTTTTTAAATTCCAGTCCTGGAGTTTGAACTCAGGACCTGGGTGTTGTTCCTGAGCTTTTATGCTCAAGGTTAGTGCTCTACAGCTTGAGCCATAGCTTCACTTCCAGATTTTTTGGTGACTAATTGGAGATAAGAATCTCATGGAGGGCTGGGAAGGTAGCTCAGTGGTAGAGTGCATGCCTTGTAAGCATGAGGCCCTGGGTTCGATTCCTCAGCACCACATAAACAGAAAAGGCCTGAAGTGGCACTGTGGCTCCAGTGGTAGAGCGCTAGCCTTGAGCTGAAGAGCTGAGGGACAGCGCCCAGAGTTCAGGCCCCATGACCGGCAAAAAAAAAATTATCTCATGGATTTTCCTGCCGGGGCTGGCTTTGAACTGTGATCCTCAGACCTCAGCCTCCTAAATAGCTAGCATTAGACATGAGATACCGGCGTTCAACCCCACTCGGTTTTGTGTTTTTTTGCAAGCTCTCTTCTCTGGGGACATATGTTCAGTGGCCACTGCTTTTTTGAGTGGCCCTTCCCCAGGTTGCATCTGTATTCCAGTCATGGCTTCTGTGTGTTAGCTCAGCCCAGCTCTTGATCCTCCTGTTCCCCAGCTCCCCTCTGGAAAGGGCAACTCTGTACCCTTAGTCAGACTGCTGGGCTCAGTGCCTTACCCACCACCCAACTGCTGGGCCGTCCACAGAGAGAGGAAGGCAGCAGCACACATAGGTAAGCCGATTTGGGCATCAGAGGTAATATGTGATGTTTCTGTTATCAAAGACAAAATTAAAATCTATTTCTAGCTCTAGAAAAACATCAAAACATTTTCCAGGTTTTTTATGTGATTTTTTTTAATCTATTGGTTATTGTGGAGTATGTAATGTGTGAATTTCCTAAGTTTCTTTTTGTTATTGATTTCTAACTTGGCTCCATACTTCATTATTTATTTTTCTTTTGAATGCGGAGATAGAACCCAGGGCTCCAGCCTGGTAGGCAAGCATTAAACTCCTCAAACCTCACTGAGGTAATAAATACCAGTCTGTTGTAGGTGTCAGTCTAGCAGCAAAAAGATAACACAATCACACTGGGTAATCTCAGAAGTGGCTTTTAAAAGGAATATAAGAAGAAAACAGAATATAAGGAAATCATAAGAAAGCAATGCTCGCTGGGTGCCAGTGGCTCATTACTATAATCCTAGCTACTCAAGCGGCTGTGATCTGAGGTGTGTGGTTCCAAGCATGAAAGACTGTAAAACTCTTATTTCCAATTAACTAATCTACCCCCGTCCCTCCCCGACAATAGCCAAAAATGGAGCTGTGGCTCAAATGGTAGAGTGCTATCCTTGAGCAAAAGAAACTCAGTGATAGTACCCAGGCCTTGAGTTTAAGCCCCAAGACCCCTTCCAAAAAAAACAAAACAAAACAAATAATAACAATAACGAAAAAGCAGGGCTGGGAAGGTGGCTCAGTGGGAGAGCGCTTGCCTTGCATGTATGAGGCCCTGAGTTCGATTCCTCAGCACCACATTAACAAAACAAGCTGGAAGTGGTAGAGCACTCACCTTGAGCTTAAGAGCTCAGGGATAGCACCCAGGCCCAGAGTTCAGGCCCCAAGCCCGACAAAAACAAACAAACAGCAGTTCTCCAATGGAGAACCAATAGCATTGCTAGAAGCTCTGCCAGAAACCTAGAGAGAGGATTTACTGTGAAGGTTACCTGGCAGGAGAACCCACAGTGACTTTGATACTCAGGAAGGGAGCAGGGGAAATAAATACCCTGGCTACATCTCTCCTTCTCCCCAGTCTCTTGCTGGACCTCCCCATTGAGCCAACATGTCCAGAAGCTTGAGGACAAAGGGAGTTTGTTGATACCATGTAGATAGGTCAGCTCAAGGTAGAGGAGGCCTAGATAGCCAATGGGACAAGCCTGGCACATGCTTTAAGTTTAACTGGCCCTTAGTTTATAAAACACCCTACACATATATAGTCTTTTACAACACTCCTGTGGAGGTGGCCGGAGGAGCAGTTATAATCCTACATCACAGAGGAGACTAAGGCTCAGAAAGAATTGACTTGCCCAAGAAATGTAGGACTTTTCTAGAGATGTCAAGTTCAGGGACCTTCTCTGTAAAGTGGGAAAAAATAACTGCTGGGACTCCAGCCACTAAAAGAAGCACTCAGATCAGTCTTGGGAGTCCTGAGAGTCAGGAGAGATGCCCTGGGCCTCAGATGAGATCTGTGCGTAGTGGGAGGGGCTGTTCCATGTCACTGATGAGGAGCTTGGGTTCTTGGGACAGCACGGAATAAGGAGGCATCACTGAGGTCTGGAAGCTTCTCACGGTAATCTCCTCTCTCTCCTCCTGCCGCAGGTGCTGGAGAACCTCCTGGGATAGTGAGAAGCTGTTTCCCTCTGCAGGTTCTGGAACAAGGCATGAGCAGGGGATTAGGAAATGGTAGGAATCTTATACCCTGCCATTAGAACATGCCAGAGGAATCACTGAGACATCCTCCCTACCCCCTTCTCCCCACCTACCCTTCAACCTCTGAGACTAGAGTCTAATAGAATCCTAAAGCTAGAAGCAGGTTTTTATTCTGTCTGATTTTTTTTTGGGGGGGTAATACTGAGTTTAAACTTGAAACTAATCTAGTATATATATGAGTCAAGCAGGAAAGGTCAGATAATGTGATGTTAGGAAAATGAACCCTTAGATAAGTATTTAAATGTTTTTTTCTTTCATGCATTTGTTTCTAACTCATTTATAAGATTATTTCTTTGTAGCTTTGTATGTCCCTCCCCCACAGTATAACCCCTGCTTTCACTATATTTGATGTCGGTATAATTTGTGGAGGAGATGGGGAAAAACAAGTCGTTTAAGGATACAGGTGGAGGGGCTGGGAAGGTGGCTCAGTGGTAGAGTGCTTGCCTTGCATGCATGACGCCCTGGGTTCAATTCCCCAGCACCACATAAACAGAAAAAGCTGGAAGAAGAGCTGAGGGACAGCGCCCAGGCCCAGAGTTCAAAGCCCATGACTGACCCCCCAAAAACAATTATTGTAAAGGTAATGCACAGAGGGGTTAAAGTTACAAAAGTTAGGTAGTGAGCACATTTCTTTTTGAGCAGTGTCACCCCTTCCCTCATTTTTTGTTTTTTTTTTCCATCCTGACCCCCTCCGCCCCCAAGTTGTATAGTTCATTTCCAACATAACTTCTAACGACTATCACTGCTGAATTAGTTCATCCTTTGTCCCACTGTTTCTGTGCTTCCCTTTCCCTTTCCCAAATCAGACAAACTTACATACAGGATAAAGGTGCAGAAATCAAAAACAGTGACAAAAGCAAAAAAAAAAAAGTATAATTTTTTTAAATTTAATTTAACTTTATTTGTGAACATACTGTACAGAGGAGTTACAATTACATGGGCAGGATAATGCGTACATTTCTTACCAAGCATTGCAGCCTCCTCCTTTGT